AGTGACATTTTTGCAAATGGACACTCCTAAGTGGCATTCTTGCGAGTGTACACACCAAAAGTGGCATTTTTGCAATTTTTCTTAAACCCTCTAAACTAAATCCTAATATAAGATAGTTAGCCCAAATATAATGATATAATAAAAAAAAAATTTGAAAAGTGGTATTTTGCAAAGATTTTGTAAAATGTGGCATTTTTGAAAAGTAACATTTGAAAAGTGGCATTTCTTAAAATTTCTCAAAATTAAAATTGTTTTTTTATTAAAATAGATTCTTATTTGAGATACCCATGAGATACTCACTTTTTCCTCAATAAATTGACATTTATCATTTTATAATGGGGAAATAGCTAAAAGACCTACAATTTCATTTTAAGTGCAAAAGTAGACCCTTTATCTCATGTTTGGCAAAAGTAACCCAAGGGGTAGTGAAATTACAATTACACCCCTTATGACAAAAAAAAAACGGATGCTACAATTACCGTTTTAATCTTCTGAGAAGTCTACTCTGTGATAAAGAAGTCTACTCCATTAGTAAACTTCAATTGAAGTCAACTTTAGATATTTAGTAGACTTCAAATGGAAGTCTACTTACTAATTATATATAAATTTTAAATTTATAAATTAACAAAAAATAGTTTGATTTAACATTTGTATTCATGACCAAAGTATAAATAAGTGTGAAGTATAAAAATTAAAATTTCACAAAATTTCATAAATTAAAGTNACAAAGATATATTAGNTTATAAATACCATACCNNTAGANTTCAATTGAANTNTACTTACTAATTANATATGAAATTTAAATTTATAAATTAACAAAAATTAGTTTGATTAAAATTTTGTATTCATGACCATACTATAAGAAATTGTGAAGTATAAAACTAAAATTTTACAAAATTTCACAAACTATAAAAACAAAGATAAATGAGTTTTCAAAACTAAACATGTCTTTTGATATTGATGTAGTGATATGTTGGTAGTTATTTTTGTTTGAAATTTATAGTTTCATGAGTTTATGTTGTAATNGCTTAGATTGAGGGATTTATATTTGGGNTTTTTATATTTATGGATTTAGGGTTTAAAGTGAATAATTTTTTAGAGATTATAGTTTAGGGTTTGATGGTTTAAGGTCTTATAGTTTAGGGTTTTGTGGATGGTAAATTTGGAGGTGTGTGTGGTTTAGGGTTTTATGGATGTTAAATTTGAAGGTATGTATGTTATATTTGGTGTTACAAATATGGACAATAGTTTGATATCATAAGTTGGAAACATGTTTTTACATTTAGGGTTAGAGGTTTATAATTTTTATATTTAAAATGTCAAATTTGAATAAAAATGTTCATTTGTGAATATATTAAACTTTTTGAATTTTTGATATAAGTTTTTATTTAGGGTTTTAGATAATCCATCGAAAATAGTTGGTCTAGGTTTTTGGTAGACTTCTAGAGAAGCCTACA